ACCGAAAATGAAGTGCTAGAAACAAGATTAAAAGAGCAGTGAGAAAAGGTAAAAAATGGGGAAATTAAGGACCAGAGTCAAATTGAAGAGATTACAGACCAAATAAATATAATAATTGTTCAAAAAGGGATAGAGAAGAAAATTATCGATTTTCAAAGTCAAATTCAGTCATTTTTGCAAAGTAATAATAATAAAAATGCTGAAAATTTATACTTAGAAATAATAAAGTTTAATGAAAGAATCAAAAACAATATTTACGCTGGAAAAGACATAAAAAGCCGCTGTCAAAAACTATTCAAGCAACTTGAAAATAATTTTCAAAAAAACAATACTACTAATCACAAAGATAAATTTCCGTGAATACCAGTTTCTATTTCTTTGATAGCCGGATTAAGCCTACTTGTGGTTATAACATTACTGGTAAAAAAACACTTGAAAGGGAAAAAATAAGTGCCAAAATTGGGTAGGGAATTTTTTTAAACCTAACAAACCTAATCCTATTTTTTTAGTTCGTTCTTTTTTCGATAATAAATAGTAGCAATAACTACCACTAAAACTAAAAATGCTGAAACAGAAGGAAGAACATATTGTCAGGAAAAACTAGCCGAATTAGTTAAAGTATTATCGCTCTCCAAGTCTTTTTTTAATTGGGTTCTGTAATTTTCAATTTTAGACCTTTCTTTTAAACTAAGTTCTTGGTCGAAAACATTTGAACTCCTGGTAAACCTGATTAGATTTTGAACTGCTTCTTTGACTTCACTCTTATTTTTAGAGTTTAATGAATTTTTCACAGAACTAACTAATTTATCAAATCTTTTTTGGGCTCCTAATGCTCCTATTTTTTGATTAATTTGTTGCTTAAACAGAAGAATTTGGTCTGGTTGAAGGGTTTGATTTTTTAAATTAGTAAATTTGGCTTGGGTTTCACTATCTAATTCTGATTCAGTAACTTCATCAGTATTCATTTGTTCATTTAATACCTCTAATACACACTGAAAAGATTTTTCTTTATCTTCAGCAATCACTTCTTCTCAAGAAGTTTTAATTTGATCTTGATTAACTCGGTAGGATTCATCCTCTACGTTTTTCTCAGTAACCTTTAGTTCTTTAAGTTTTTGGTTAATATCACTAGTTTGTTGAAAATTTTTGAGAGCATTGTCGATTTCAGTTTTTTTTTGGGCAGTCTGCTGGTTTATCTCTGCTTCAATTTCTTCACTTAATTTTTCGGGATTTTTCGGCTTGGGTTCATTATTATCCGGCCTATCCTTTCCGGAATCAGTGGGCTTTGGTTTGGGTTTTTTGTTTGGCTCCGGAGTAGTAGGTTTATTTTTTCCATTATCATTGGTATTCTCGGGCGAATTGCCGTTTTCTGGCTTTTGCGCTCCTTCTCCATCTTTATTTTCTTTTTCTGGATTTTCAGGCGGAGGATTGGTCGGATCTTCTAATCTTGAAAAAGGAACACTAAATTCTATATTTTCAGACTTGATACTCTCTATTTTTAGAATAGGAACTCTCGTACTTCCCCAATCTATAGAACCTACTCTAAAATTAAGATTGTTTTGACTGGTAAGGTTCTTGACCGTAATTTTTATTGACATTTTTTTTGGATTATTTTGTGTATGGGGAAGAAATAAATTTTTCGTAAGCTCTTCACTAAATTTATCATCAATTCCAACTAACTCAATTTTCTTAACTGGATAAACAATTCCCGACGAAGAGAAGTCAACTAATCCTCCAATTTCAAAATCTTTTAAACCATCATGTCTAGGAGAAGAAGAATAATTACCAAAGCCAAGGTCGAAAGAAGGTTGGTAAAATACCGAAAATTCTTTTAAATTTTCAAGTGATGGAATAGTGACGTTTTCGAATTTAATTTTTTCCTCTATCTCTAACCGACCATTCTCGACAGAAAAATTTTCTATTTTCATTTCTAAAAAATTGACTTTGTGAAGCAAGGCAATTTTCCAGAAGTACTGAGTGCCACTCAAATTACTAATTCATCTTTCTAGTCCATCCAAATCCTTGATTAATATTTCCTTAATCTCCGAACCTTCAAAATTAATAGTTTCTATTCCCAAAAGGGCATGATTAGCAGCAATTCCCTCTTCTCCCGAGATGACTTTTGTAATAAAAAATATTAAATTTTTACTCATGTTAAAAGACTATATATAATTTTATTATATTTCAATCTCCTAAGCACTCTTTTTAAAAATTATTTTTATTGGTAAGTTTTCTAAACCTATGCTATTCCGGAGATAATTAGTTATATAACGCTGATAAGAAAAATGAGCCCATTGGGGGTTATTAACAAAAAAAATAAAAATTTGAACCAAACCCGGTTCTTGCTTAGCGAAATAGATTTTTAACTTATTACCCTTAA